CTGAAGCTATACCAAAGCATGAAGAACAAGAAAAAAATAGAGTCTAAAACTCCTAAACTTCGGTGGTTAACTCATGAAAGAAGACCACTAACTTGACACTCAGAATATGTTATTGAAAGTAACATTATATACTGTCTTCTAATAGAGGATGGAGAGCCATCAACTTTCGACGAGGCTATCAAAAGCACAAATGTATCTATGTGAATGACAGCAATGCAAGAGGAGATTGGAGCTCTGGACAAGAATGATACTTGAGATCTTGTTCCATTACTACAAGGAAGAAAGACCATTGGTAATAAATGAGTTTACAAGATAAAGCGTGATGGCAATGATCAAATAGAGCGGTATCGTGCAAGATTGGTAGTGAAAGGATATGCTCAGAAAAAAGGAATATACTTTAATAAGATATTTTCTCTAGTGATATGACTTACTACAATTAGAGTAGTCTTGACAATGTGTGTTATATTTGATCTTCACTTAGAGCAATTAGATGTGAAAACTGCATTTCTTCATAAAGAACTTGAAGTAGAAATTTATATGCTCTAACTAGAGGGTTTTGCTAAAACAGGCAAGGAGAACTTGGTTTGCAGGTTGAACAAATCTCTATACGGTCTCAAACAGGCGCCAAGGTGTTGGTACAAGAGATTAGTTTCCTTCATAATTAGCCTTAGGTATAACAAACTTAGTTCAGACCATTATACGTATTACAAGAGGTTTGAGGAAGATGATGTTTTCATCATTCTGTTATTGTACGTGGATGACATGTTGGTGATAAGCCCCAATAAAGATTGAGTCCAAGAATTGAAGGCACAATTGGCTAGGGAGTTTGATATGAAGGATTTGGAACCAGCAAACAAGATTCTAGGGATGCAAATTTATCGAGACAGAAGTAAGAGAAAGATTTGGCTTTCTTATAAGAATTATTTGAAGAAGATCTTGCATTGCTTCAACATGCAAGATTGCAAGCCAATTTCCACCCCACTTCCTATTAACTTCAAATTATCCTCAAGTATGTCTCCTAGCAATAAAGCAGAGAGGATGGAGATATCTCGAGTACCATATGCATCAGCAGTGAGAAGTTTAATGTTTGGTATGATATGTACAAGACTAGATATTGCACAAGCAATGGGAGTAGCTGGTCGATACATGGAAAATCCTGGTAGAGAACCTTAGAATACTATTAAGAGGATCTTGAGATACATCAAGGGTACCTCAGATGCTGCATTATGCCATGGAGGATCATAATTTACTGTCAGAGGTTATGTTGACTCAGATTTTGCTAGTGACCTTGAAAAAAGAAAATCCACTACAGGCTATATGTTCATAATTGTAGGAGGAGCTGTGAGTTGGGTCTCTAAACTACAGACTATTGTAGTGCTATCCATAACAAAAGCTAAGTATATGGCAACTACACAAGCTTGTAAAGAAGCAATATGAATAAAGAAACTTATGGAGGAGCTCGGGCACAAGCAAGAGAATATTCTTTTATATTGTGATAGTCAAAATGCTTTGCATATTGCAAGGAATCCAATGTTCCATTCAAGAACAAAACACATAGATGTTCAGTATCACTTTGTTTGCGAAGTGGTGGAAGATGAAAATATGAATTTTCAGAAGGTTCATATAAAGGAAAACCCAGCAAATGCTTTGACTAAACCAGTCAATACTAATAAGTATATATGGTGCAGATCCTCTTATGGCCTAATAGAAACGTAAGCAGCATGAAGATGACAAGCATAAAAAGGATAGAAGAATCATAGATGATCAAGTGTGAAGACTTGATTAAATCATCAAAGTCTTCAAGTGGGAGAATGTAGAGCCACCATTTAATTAATTGGTAGAAGACAAAAATGAGTGGAGTTGTTGGTATAATTAGAGGTGAGTTGTTGACATAATTGATGGAGTTGTTTGCATACTTGGTGGAGTATAAGTGGAGATAAGTTGTTGGTATAATTTGTGGCATAATTGGTGCCATGATTTATAGCCTTTGTCCCATCACTCTTGCCTATAAATAGGCAATGCCTCCAAGCTTATTATGCACACCAAGATAGAGAAAAGAAGAGGAGAGTGAAGAGAGAATAATCTCATAAAATTATGAGGTATTTGTAAGAGAGTAAGTGAGGTGTTTTCTCCTAATAATAGAGAGATTTTTAATTGTTCTCCTATTATTTGAGAGAGGTTGTAATTCCCACATTACTTAGTAAAATCCTTCTATACTTGCCTGTGGACGTAGCCTAATTGGATGAACAACATAAATTCTTATGTGTCTCATTTCTCATTTTATTTTATTCTTTGTCTTTTATCTTGTCGGGTTTGCATGTCAGTACCCTAACAAAAATTTCATAAGCAAAAATGATTATAGATATTAGCTGTAAATTTGTAATTTATTTCTCAACAAAATAAAGCTATTGAAGTATTTCTTCTAAAATATTTACAAAATGTTTTAAATAAGTTAGAAAATCCTACATCTATATATATATATATAAACTAAGACTCTTAAAGTATAAAGAAAATTAGGATAATAAATTAAAAAAACTAAAAAAAATAACAAAATTAATCAAAACAATAATTTATAAGCCTAATTCTAAAAGATATAATGGTCCAATAAACAAGAAAGCAACTCTTCTTAAAAAAAATATTAATAAAATCACTTGAAAAAATCTAAACTCAATTTAACAATTAAATCTTCCGTCAACTCTATTTTAAGCTATTATCATAGTCTCACACAAAAATAAAATTCCTTTTGCATTTAGATTTTTGCTACTATTCAATAAAATATATATGTTAGCCATTCAAATAATCTGCTTAAATCAATATGTCTAAAAAAAATTCCCCTTTAGTTATAAAAAAATCCCCATCCAAATGCTAACTTTTAGTTTTTACAAGCTAGGCCAAATCAACAAGTTCTTAATTACGTCTAATCATTGGAAGGGTAAGTACTCTTGGAATCATTGCTGGCGAATCAAAATGGACCTTTCTTCACTTTTTTCGTATTATCGTCTGCATGCAGAAGGTGATCTTCTTTGTATATCCATGCACATTAATTTGTATAATTTCTTGCATGCAGAATTCGAGTCCTATTGCTGATTCAAGACTGTAAAAGAATCCACAAAGTAAGCTGGACAAATTAATGCCGTCTCATCTCATTGTTTTTAGGCCTTCTTTTTCTACTTTCAAAAGATCACTCTCCTTGATAAATGTTAATTATTTTATTACAGGGATGGTGTTGTACGATGATCCTGTTAAAGCCTTGCTTCCTCTTTTTTAAGATTATCAGTTTGGGGCCTAAAGTGATGGCTTTAATTAGTTTAATTAAGGCCAGTGTGTATCTTGTTTGAGCCCGATTGCTAACACTTTACTTGGATTCTAAGTAACAGCACCATTGCTCTTTTTGAGTTCTGGAAATTTCCCTCCATTTTTCTATTCTCTTGTATGCTAATTAACAGCTCCTTTAGCCATGGTGAAGCTTGTCCTGGCATCTTCTATCAGCTGGTTCCTCTCGAGTTGAGACAAGGTATTGATGCAGGTGAATCAGAGTGAACCTCACTTCACTACGGATTCTATTCATCTATAGCCTGCGGGTCTCCTTCTATAAGTAGAAGACCAGCTTGGTGGCAACAACAAAGCTAATTCAAGAAATAAATTGTCACCGTTGCACTAAAAACCTTCTAAGAACCTCTCGCTGCCACTGTTGCAACAATAGAGCTACATCCAAGAACCATTTCACAACAATAGTTATGGAATTATCCATAAACATATCCGGACAAGCCTCGAATCAGAGAGACGAGAACTTGCGAAAGTGGAAGGCAGAGAGTTTCGTACCGCAAATACCACGTGATGATGACCCAAAGAAGATGATGGATGAGAAGTTGTACAATTACGCAGAAGAAGACAAATTTGATGAATTATTTGGTGAACTGCGGCGTGTTTCATCAGCGGAACTATCATCCATCATTTACACACAAGTTAGCCCTTCTGGAAATTCATTGCTTCATGTTTCAGCAAGCAATGGAAGCAAACATGTGACGGAGCTCCTTCTACAACATTTTCCGCTTCTAATGGTGAGGAAAAACTTCCACGATGATACTACACTTCATTTAGCAGCCGGAGCTGGACAGCTGGGAACTACAACAGTTCTTATCAACAAGGCAAAAGGCCATGGAGGAGCCAGCGACTTTCCTAACTTTTTGGAGATGAAGAATGATAGAGGCAACACAGCTTTACATGATGCAGTCATTAATGGGCACGACATTTTGGCCCATTCTCTGGTTTCAGAGAGCTTGAAACTTTCCTATTCCGAAAATAATGAACGTAAGTCTCCCTTGTATCTTGCAGTCGAGAATAGCGATGAGAAGATGCTCACTACTCTAATGGATACTATACGTGATGATGTGATTTACTTAATAAGCTAGAAGGAAAGTCTCCTGTGCACGCCGCTGTCCAAGGAAGAGAGAAGTAAAATGATTTTTTTCCCTTCTCATTCATATATTTTCCCTTCTAACATGCTAGTGTTTCTTTCATTATTTGATCTATTTTCATTCGAGTTAAATTAATTTCAGCAATATTGGAACAAATAGCGAAAAAAAAGCCAGGCCTTTCGCGCCGGAAAGATGAAAAAGGGGAGAATCCACTTCACTGTGCAGCATACATGGGTTATGTTTGGGAAACTCAATTCCTATTCAATGAATATCGTGGTGGTGCAATCCAGCAAAACGATGAAGGCAACATGCCTGTCCATGTTGCTAGCAAAAAAGGCTATGTTGACGTAGTTGATGCATACATTTCCAAGTGGACTGATCCAGCGGAATTTCTCAACAGCAAAAGGCAGAACATTCTACATGTCGCCGCCGAGAGAGGAAGACATGGAGTGGTGAGGTATATCCTACGAAATAAGAATCTGGAAGCACTTATAAATAAGCAGGATCTGGATGGAAATACACCTTTGCATTTAGCATCGAAGAATGGCCGATCCATTTCAGCATTTACTCTTGTTCGAAACTCTATGGTTATGAAAGAGAAATACAAAGTCAATGGCGAAAACTTGACACCATATGAGGTTGCAAAGAAGCAATCTAAAATGGTGGGAGCAGAATTCTCGGGAGAACCAATTCCGAAGGGGAATGTAAGTCAAGTAATAAATGTACAAAGAAACTACATTGGCCTCGATGAAAAAAGCAGCAATCATTCGCTGCTACATACATCAAGGTAGGCATTTAGCTTAATGGTGCTTCTATAAAATTCATTTCAAGGTTTTTTTTTTCCTTTTCCCTTGAATCTTATACAAATCAGCAAATAAAAAATATCTTTCTCCAAATTTTCTTGGTGTGGGACAAAAATGTTGACCCAAAGAGTGACAGCAATGCAGAGAAGCCACAAACAAAGGACAAACCAGATCATGGAGTGGTATCCCATTTTCTTTCATTCATTTCCTTTTCTTTTATGAGATAACTAGTTCCATAGTTTATTTTTTCGGTTCTTTTTCCTAAAACCATACGCATAAAAACATCTTTTGGTTTTTTGATGTAGGGAAACCAAGATGGTCCAGATGACAGAAAAGGAGGGAAGGGAAAACTAGACTATTATGGAGTTGTATTTCTTCTTCTTCTTCTTCTTGACAAAAATGGAGGCAAGGGAAAACTAGATTATGTCTTCTTTAATTGTCGGGAAGGGAAAACTAGATTATTATGGATAATTTTTATGTCTTCTTCTTCTTCTTGATAAAAAATATAGAGGAAAGGGAAAACTAGATTATTATGGATTTGTATGTCTCCTCCTCCTCCTTGAAGAAATTATCCTGGACACTTCCTAACTAGCTAAAAAGGAAACTTCTGACTACAAATTTTCTTTGTCAAATAATTTATAGGTTACATATCTCTTTTATCTATTGTTTTCCAGATGATGACATTATCGATCTTGCATTTCTGGGCTGGGCCAAAGAGATCCAAAGTAGAATATTTCCGTATTAAGAGTAGGCCTCCACCAAAAGCGGAAATCAAGGACATGGTTAATTCACTTCTTGTTGTTGCCGTACTGATCGAAGTGTAACATTTGCTGGTGTCCTCCAACTACCTAAAAGTGCAGACCAGCCTGGATGTAGAGCTTCTAACATCACCTCCAACAATATCCAGATCCAGGGCATATCAGAAATAAATGAAGGCATCCTAAGGAATGTTTATATTTATTTTGACATGGTAGCCTTGAATGCCGCGGTCATGGCATCGATAATCCTTTGTTGGGCTCAACTATATGATGTCAAAGTGGCAGTACATGCAGTTTGGTTGGCATCAATATTAACAGGTGGTGCTATCTACTTGATGTGCTTAGCATTCGTCTTTGCCGTTGCTATTGATGTAGGCAAAAGCTTTGCCTTCTTCGTTGTCACCATTGTCGTCGGAGGAGCGTTTTTTATTTTCCAAACCGTGGTTTCTATTCCATTAATTATTCCGCCGAGTGCCAACCAAATCATTGAAAGAATTGCTTCACCTTTGATCTATCTCCTGATTTTCTACGTACATTTCCATTTGGACTGGTTGTATTTTAAATTGAAGAAAAAAGAGAAGCCACAACAAACAAAGTCTTCTTGATATGATGCTCTTCGGATCAGTGGATTGTGCTTGTTTAATCATCGAAATAATTTAATGCTGTTGATTGTATTAATTATTTGATATTTGTATTGTTATCATAATTTGAGTTAATGTACGGCTCCTGGTGAGCTTTTTCTTTATTGAATAAAATAAAAGAAATGTTTTCTACTAATATAAGTAATTTGTTTATGCAAATTAATTAATGTGAAATTATGTTAGCATTCCATGCAAAATTTAATAAACAATATTTACTGTCCATGAGATACACTTTCTTGATCTGAAGTTCAGAAAACAAAAAAAATGTTTTCTTCGTAATAAAAATAAACAATAAACAAATTAACAAAAATAAAAGCTTGCGCTAGCTACAGAAAAAGAAGAAGAAGAAAGTGACAATATTGTAAAAATCTCATATCCTTTCATTAAACCTTTGAAGAAAAAATGTCTTTTAATCACATTCCTTATATTAATTATAATTATAACTCATGTATTTTCACATATTCATTTTCTATCATGAAAATTCATGTCTCATATATAAAAATAATAATAATGAATTTTTCATTAAAATTACAGATTTTGAAAAAAAAACTAACTATTTCACCAACAATAACAATCACAACTATGATTTTTTGTATTAGCTTTTTATAAGCAAAGGTGTGGCACAGCTACTGTGTCCTCCCTTCCCTCTCCTAATCAACATGATAAATTTCTAGGGTGATAAAGCGCTTCATCTGGCTGCCAAAGCTGGACGGCTAGCACAATTAAAAATCTCTTCGAGCATGTAAAATATCATCCTGAATTAATTGAAGTTTCTAGCTTGCTGAGGATGAGGAATGCTAAGGGAAACACCCCTAATTTGCATGATGTATGCAGTCATCAAGAGCAACATCAAATCCTTAAGATTCAGCCCTCAAATGACTTGATTTGTATTAAAATTCCGTCCTTAATATGTAAAGAGAGGAGAAACAAACTTTATTGTAAGATCATGACAATGCAAATATCCTGCTATCATGGTGCCCGCTTGTTCTTACTTGTAAAGCCACTTTGTTAATAGTGATTACAACTCCCTGGATGGACAAAGAAAGGAGATCAGGGGCCAGGAAAATAATTAGATTTATTTTACTTGATTTTTTTTTTCAATTTCTAAGGTGATTAAAGATTTGTATTAAGTTTGTATAACAATTTATACATGTCTGTACAAGCTAAAACAATGGAGAAATGAGGTTTGGGAGGCCCAATCCCAGGGCCTCCAATTCTTCAGCAGCCACAATCCAGCTGCCGAACAATACTAGCACTCATATTTTATTTTTCATTTTTTCTTTTAAGCTAGGCGGACAGGGCCCAAGGGCATGTGTTTGTTTATTTTAGACCCTTGCGCGTGGGCCTAATGCACACCCAGCCCATCTTTCCTCTCTTATTTTCCTTCTCTTTTATACATTGTTATTTTTTTATTTTCATTTTTTTTAAATCAAAATCCCCGATGAGAAAAAAATCGTTTTTATTTGGATAATTTTCATTAAATAATGAAGTTATTTCCATCATATGCACATTTTCATGATGAAAATGAAATTAAATCTCCTTGGTTTGATTTTATAAATAAATAAATAGTTTTATTTACATGATATAAATTAAAAAAATATTATTTAAATTAATTATTTTTTGATATTATTGAAAAATTGTATGTGAGTATGAGTAGTACTTCAAATTTACAACATATTTTTTATATGATTGAAGTTTTTTCAGATGATATGTGAATATTTTATATATAAAAAAAATATTATTATTTTCTCAATCACTAATACATTTTCTTAATTGTTAAGAAAAAAATAAATTTATACTAACTGATTATGAGTGTTACATTAATTTATAGTATTTTCTCAATTATCCGCTCATTTCCAAAAACAATTGGAGCCTTTAGAGGTTAACATAACCTACATTGCTAGTTTATTCGAGTAAGATATTCAGTTTTTGTCCACACCATATAGATAAGATCCCTACTAACGCTTTTGTAAGGAGGTTGACCAAAGAGAAAATGTACTAGAATTGAAAGATGAAGTTTATGCCTATTGTATTTAAAAAGTTATTGTTTCTATGTGATCATGTCCGCAAAAATGTTTTGATTTATTATGATTTTTTGATCTATTTTAGTTTTGATAGTAGTTTAATTGATAATACCATAATACTTTCTTTGTCAAATGAGTCCTTTTTTTTTCCCAATGAAATCATGTATTTTCTTGTGTTCATGATGTGCCTTTATTATTATTATTATTAATTTGCAAATAATATACTTATAAAAAAACACTCTATACTTTTAGGAATCAAAAGTTTCATAGAATCACAGAACCATTACACCAAAAATTCTTTGGTGTATTCTCTTTTCTTAAAAAAAAAAACCATGTATGATCTTATGTTTTAACAAATGTTTCTGGAAAAATCAAAATTTTACTATAAAAACAAAATTCAATTGGTGTTTGTTCTAATAGAAAATTTCTTAAAATTCAAATGATCTCCTGAAAAAGTGACCATACACCTAGAAAAATCCGAAGAACAACTTAAATACCATAAGATGAAATCAAAGCTCAATTTTAGCTGAATAAATAATAAAAACTATTTTATATGATCATATGAACAAAAAAGAGCAAAGTTTACTGATTTTAAATGGAAAAATGCCATCTTTGATAATCTTTTTAAATGGCTAAATATATTCTTTATAGTCCTTATTAAGCTTACTTTCTGTTTTAAGTAGGGGGCAATTGTTATAACTTTTTTTTAGCTTGTTTCCTTAAAATTTATCTTTTTTTTTCTTTCATTATAAAAAATAAAAAAAAAAAGTAATAATAGCAAAAAGAATAGCGATTTAGAAAAAATAGATAGATAAGAATTTCAAATATATAGAAAAATCAAGGTACAATTTTGGATGGGACTAGTAGTTTAATTATACCCTTATTGTACTTGAGAGTAGAAAGACAAAGTGAATTTAAGGACAAATGATTATTGAATGAATCTGTATAAAATATAAGTCTAGGGACACAATTAAATTTTTAATAGGTCAATTTGATTTAATCATGCGTCAAATTAAAATTTTAATTATGTTTGATAATGAATTTGGGTCAAATTAAATGATTTAATTAAGTATAAGGACTTAATTATAGTTTCAATGAGTCAAATTAATTTTATTAGGGATTTAATTAGTAAAAATAAAGTTTGGAAGCCTAATTTGAACTTAATTGAAAAGATTGAAATTTTAAAGGACCAAAAATTATTTTTACAATGTTAATTAATTAAAATCAGAAGTAAAATTACAACAAAATCAAAGTTTATGGTTAATTAGAGATTAAATTAAAGAAATTTATAATTAATGATCTTTTTGAAAAAGACATCAAATTCTAGAAAATCAATTGAAATTTTCTCAGATGACTACTTTTTAGAGTCATTTAATGTTTTTTTTCTCTTACTAAAATGGGCAAACCATACACCACCACATTGTACCACACCCCATAATAGATCTCACAAGGCCATTGCCCCTATGACCGCCATGATATCATCCCAAAAAGGTCAACTTAAGCAACATTTAGCTACCAATTTGTCTGTTTATGATTGCTTATTTGAACCAATGGTTGAAATCCTCTCTCGTTAAATCAAGGATCAAAATTTATTTTTTAATTAAAATAAAGTGTCCTTCTTCCATCCCTGTAAATAAAGATGGATTACAAATATTAAATACCAAGAAATCAACATATTTTTCTTTTTTTCCCCACTGCCACCACCTCCTACATTTACCAAAACAACCACCAAGTGATCAAATCCTCTCCCTTAACACCATTGTAACTGATAGCTCCTTCCTTGGCACTGTCGTAATCTAACAACAATTATCTTTGGCAGCCCCGTTAGTTTCTACTTCTTTCTCTCTAGCAACATTAGCCTCTCCACCCTAACCTTTTCAATCGCCACACCCCCATGTCGGATCTCTTAGTAGCGGCTGCAACACCACCTCTATACTTGGTAACTTTAATTTTTTCCTCACCTTTACACCTTCCCCCACATACATTCGGATATGAAATAATTCGCATCCTGTAATTACTAGTTCTTCCTGGCAGATCCAATAATAAGATGAAGTCATTTCATCTTAGCTCAGATAGTTAGAACAAATCAAGTCCAATATTTAAAAACCAAAAAGGAGAAGGATGTTGGGTCGATAGTAAACTCAATCTAACTGAGTTAGGTTGGACTCGTTCCAGCCTAGCCCAACATAAAACAAGATCGTTGGGCTGTCAGTCAACCCAACCCAACCCAATCAGGTTGGACTTGTTTCAGTCCAACCTAGATAGCAAGGCTAAGTCCAACTCAAGGTATGTTGAGCTGTTAGTCAATCCAACCCAATCTGACTGAGTATTGCATAGATGGATGGGTCGGGTCTAATCCACTTAATAAATAATATAATATTAAAATATTAAAAACATATTTTAAAAAAGAATTCAAAAGGGCATTTTAATAATATTTTCAAGTCCCTTGCATGTTTTCCAACTATTTTGCATAATATCAGCTATAGACTTATATTGTAAGATACAAATTCGTTATTAAAAATACTCGGTTTTCTTTGAATTTTTTTTAAAATAAAAAAATTAAAAATAATTTCATCTTTCCAATAACACAATATATATTTTATCTTTGTGCATACGAACAAATCCTAAATATTTTTTATTTATATTTTCTAGGGAGAGATAAAATCATTTTAACTTTTTTTTAATATAATATAGATATCATAATTGGTTTATAATTATTTAATAGAATTTGATCAAAATATAAAAAGTTTTATTTTAATTAATTTATCATTCAGATCATGCTAGCGAAGACTTAGCTATGCTGAAAACTTATGAGTGTTATATCAATTTTACAACATATAGTGTCACCAGTGCAGTTTTTTCAAACGTTATGCTTACATTTTATATAAAAGAAACATTGTCTTTTTGTCAATTTCTAGGAAACAAAATAAAGAAAATCTCTCTAAGTTAGCATAATTATCCTATTTGTATACAAGTTAAACTTCATTTAACGTTTCTTTTATCTCAGTGGCAAACAGGCAA